TAACGACAGAAGTTTTCTACAAAAACATTGGTCTGTCTATGCATTTAACCTAAGCAGCTTCATTGGTGGAGCTGAAGTTGGCTGAATGACACTGTAAACTTGTTATTATCCCAAACACTACGTTGTCAATGTATGTGGTCCTCTTGTCTTGGTAATACAAAGGGCTTTAGTTTGAACATGGCACATTTCGGAACATTTCGGGAATAGAGAGTGCGTATATTTGGGTTTAAAAGTGTGGAGTAAAAGTAAAAAGTTCCCAAGAAAGGTGAAGTATTGAAATCAGGACAAACTACTGAAGCACAAATACATAGGTACTTGCCACCTCTGGAGAATTGGGAAAAATCTTGCTGTATTTATCATTTGACGCAAGCCTACAATAGCTTATATGTGACTTCGATTCATTTCCGATCACACGAAATCGGTCCGTGTGTTTTGGTTCTCGATCTAAATTTTGTGGGCAGGTTCTGGACGTGACGCCTTTTTGTGACTTCCCCTTAAACCATCGCTTTCCATTCACTCACTCAGTCCTCAGATAAAGGCCAAAAGAGGCACCGCTCGAACGAAACTAGAAAGCCAAGCACTGCCCTCCGGTGGCTGAAATGAGAAGTGCAGCGACACAAAAATAAAAGCTTCATAATAAAGAGCAATTTAAATGTAAAAAATATATATACTTACGTGTTTTCTGCAGCCACTGGGAGGGATTTTCGTCCACATTTTTACGAGTGGGTAGCGTTCACACCAGCAATTGCGAACTGGTCTCGAAATCTTGCCTTTTGAGGGAGCTTAATTATTGTATTACTTCATATTAAATAGGAAAACATGTGCCATTTCCTCCTCCCTGAATGTGCAAAAACAAGCTGTATATTGTGCCCAGTGACGCAGACGGTGTCTATTTGTCTGTTTTTTTGTTTTTTTCTCGGCTTTTCTAAAAACAGCTGTGTTGTCTCTTTACTGTTATCTGCTATTTGAACGTCTAGTCCTACAAAGTAAAGTAATAAATGCATTTTTAAAAAGACTAAACAGTTGTAGCCTGTTTCTACAAATCTTTAACTCTGATTTGCGTATAATGTACTGTAATGTTTTATTTAAGATTTTAGAGGTAAGATGTCTGCGTTTAAATTATGGGAATTAAAATTACAAAGAAAGAAAATGTGTGTTGTTTCATTTCTCGATCTGAATTTTATGTTTGATGTTCAACAGTTGTTCCAAAGGTTTCCTTGTTTCTGGCTACATATCGGAAATCCACCCATCCATCTTCTTCCGCTTTATCCGTGGCCGGGTCAAGGGGGGGCAGCGGTCTAAGCAGAGACAACCAGACTTACCTCTCCACACACACTTTTCCAGCTCATCCGGGGGAATCGAAGGCGTTCCCAGGCCAGAGAGAGACACGATCCCTCCAACATGTCCTGGTTCCTCTCTTGGTCTCCTCCCAGTGGGACAGGCCTCCAAGAAACATACATATTTCCAAAACCTAAAATAAAAGTGTTTTTTTATGGTCAAATGATCCCAGAATCAGTGAAGAGTCCACCGCAAACTACGTGCTGTGGCACCTGGTGTTCCCAGAGGTCTCCCATCGCAGCACAAACCAGGCCCTGTCTTGCACAGCTCGGGAAATGACAGGTTCCATATCACTCCATCTTCATCACCATAGCAACTCAATTTGGATTATATATGTACTTTGAAAGTCGATCACACAGCAAGATGATGAACTAAGTAACTAAAACTGCTAAATATGTATGTTGTAAAATTCATAATTTAATTCAGTCTGTTCAATTATAGAAAAATGTCGCTTTTTTCCCCCATCTTCATTTTGGTCATGACAACCGTTGCTAAGGAGCTCTTGCTGGCTCATAAAGCAGTCCCTTTCCTCAAACACGTTATGAATGTTATGATCATTATGTAAATGGGTGAAACGCCTGGAACAGTGCGGTTCTATAGTTTGGACACACTATGCCCCGTGCCGTCTCTAGGTTGGTCTCAAATGTCCGGTCTGTGCAAGGCGACCCCGGAATTTACAAGAACTGGAGTCTTTTCGTCAAGAAGAATGGGCAGCTTTACCGTCAGAGGATATCAAAGAACAGAGAGGAGAAAAATGCTGGAGAAAATACAGAGATCAGAGAGAGAGACCAGAGGATAAAGAACCTCATCCACAACGTGTATGAGGTTCATGTTAAAGGGCAACGCACGCCACTGAGAACTGGGGGATGGAGATTTCTGATCAGGGTGAGATTTTGAGTTTCTGCATGTTCTTATTCATCTGAAAACACGTTTATTTGACAGAAGCTTCCGGACGTTCAAACGCTCGTAAGTCATCAATGCTCTCGCCGAAACAAAAACATTAGCTGCCGGTGAAGGACACAGGTTTTTGGATCAAACCCACGCTGGATTTCAGCGAAGAAACTGGCAACCTGGCGGGGAAGTGGTTTAAGTTGTCACCTCTCAGCAAGAACATGGGTTTGGGTCATGGGTTTGTATGTTCTCCCTGTGTCTGAATAAGTTTCCTCCAGGTGCTCCAGTTTCCCCTACCACTAATAACAGTACGAGACAAGGCAACCCACACAAAAATAAAATAAAACACAATTAAATCCTTACTTCTCAAAAAGATTGAGCAACGTGGCCATCATGTGCCTTTTTTAATTTAAAGCTAGGGTACCTAATTTTCACCTACATAACTATATATAAAAAAGTATAGTTTCTGGTTCTATCAAAAGTTTTCAGATGTATTTTTGGCCTCTGACACATCTTTACATTGGCTTTTTCAGGCAGAAGTGAAAAGGAGAAAGGACCTACCCTCACTCTGCCCAAAAGGGTCGAATAGAAACTCACAGGGATCTATCTCAGAAGTTTACATCAGTCATGTTTTAATAAGAAGCTAATGAGATGAATAAAAGTCTGATTTCTTGGCAACATTTTACTTTTTCACTTTTTAATGTGTTTATAAAAACAGAGAGGGACCAGAGAAGGACCAGAGAGCGACAAGAGAGGGACCAGAGACCTGATAGAGAGCTGAGAGAAAGACCGGAGAAGGACAAGAGACCAGGGAGAGACCAGAGAGAGACCTGAGACCAGGGAGAGACCAGAGAGAGACCAGGGAGAGACCAGAGAGAGACCAGGGAGAGACCAGAGAGAGACCAGGGAGAGACCAGAGAGACACCTGAGAGAGACCAGAGAAAGACCAGGGAGAGACCAGGGAGAAAGAGCCCTGGGAGTCACTATTTAACACCTTAGGGCTGAGAGCTGATTGGTTGTGAGGGGAGTAAGTAAGTAATCTTTATTTATATACCGCCTTTCACAGACCAGTCACAAAGCGGTTTACAATTGTTATTTTTGGGCACTTGTCCTCCCTCTCCACACAGAGATGGGAGCGGGGTCGCCGAACAGGAGGCGCATGCCAGACTACATACACCTATTTTTAGTGGTAGGGGAAACCGGAGTACCCGGAGGAAACCTACGCAGACACGGGGAGAACATGCAAACTCAAAGGCCATGGCCCGACCGGGATTCGAACCCAGGACCTTCTTGCTGAGAGGCGAGAGTGCTATCCACTCAGGTCTTCTCTGTTTCACGTTTCCGTCTAGAACAAGTTAATCTAAAGCTGTGAGGCCAAAAACACAAACAAACTAGAGCTAGCACCAAACTGCTTTGAGAGCCAGAAACTCGTGCCAGAAGATTCTAACACATGGTTTCATTTGTTTGTCATTTGAAAGTTACATAACGCAGCTTTAACTAGTGCAAATCAAAAACCAAACACCAGAACCGATTTGGGTTAGACCATTTCCGTCCAAAACGTTTTTATTTTCCTCCACACTCTGGTTTAGACCCTGTGATTTCAGCCCAAAATAAAAAAAAACAGACGTTGCATTTCTTTCCGGTTGCGGTGGAGGCGAACAAAGTCTCCTCGAGTGCGGATCTAAAAATGAAGAAGAAGATTGAGCGATAGATTGAGAGCGAGAGTTTTATGGGATCATCCTCCGGCCTCACGAGTCGTCTTTGCGAATCATAAAATCGACACAAAAAAAAGATTCTTGGAAATCCCAGGGCTGGAGATATGGATGCGTCCCGATCCGTCCCCCACGAAAACGAAAGGATAAAAAAGCAAAACCGTGTCGTTCGGTTCAGAGAGAGGCCGGAGAGACACTTGTTCATTGCCTTTTTTAATGTTATGCATCTGTAGTGTAGTGCCACAAAGTGCCCAGTCGATTTACAGCAAGTGACTTCACAACTGGGGAGGGGTTAAAACAGAGAGAGAGAAGAGAAAAGAGAGGCCGAGACGAGAGAGCGACCAAACCGAAGCCAATCGACTCAGAGTGTGTGTGTGTGCAAAAGAATTGGTGCAAAAACCCTCGTGTTTCTGAGGCAATAGCACCGAGTAAAATACAGCTCCAAAGTGTGTGTATGTGTGTATGTGTGCGTATATGTGTGCGTATATATTGTGTGTGTGTGTGTTGTGTTTTGTGTGTGTATGAAAAAGTAAGAAGTCCTCCTTCCAAAATGGCCACTTGGTGATTAAGCTCATGCTTGCGTAGTGGCAAAAAAATCCATCTCCAAAAGCACGGCCTTCATAAAAACGACTAAATATAAATTAGACAGCAGCGGTTAGCGAGAGAGAGAGAGAGAGAGAGAGAGAGCGTTCCATCAGTCTCCCCCCGCGGGTCCAGTCTAGTCTCTTTGCAAAAACAAAAACGCTATATGTTGTTGTAGGTGTGTGTGGGATTATCGTCTGTCTTTCATTCATTCATTCATATAGAGTTATTTTTTTTCAATAATATATGTATAAAGTTCTTCTGCTTTCGTCGTAAACAATCGCCAAAGTCTAGGTTTTTTTTCCGTCTGCGCCAACGAATTAAACAATGGGGTTTGATAATGACAATCGCTGGAACGAAGCCGAACAGATCAAGCAGTTTCTTTGTCATCCGTCGACGAGAAAGAGAGAGCGAGAGAGACCAGGGTTTGGCGTCTTCTCTCTGGGGCGTTTTTTTTCCGGTGGGACAAACGCGTTATCAAAGAGGAGGCGCAGGTGGCGGTTCTTTTTTCGCCGTTTTTGAGCTAGTTTTGGGCGACTTGGTGGTGGCGGTGGGTGCGGTCTTCTCTTTGAGGTTGAGGTTCTCCAGGGCCACGTCCAGGGTCATGACTTCCACGCAGCCCATGGCCTGGAAGTCGGTGAAGGTCCGGGCGGGAGGAGGAGGAGGGGGCGGCTGTGGGTGCTGCTGGTGGAGGTGGTGGTGGTCCTCGTGCAGCAGCGTGGAGAGGAGCAGCTCCGTCACGAACAGGCTGCGGTCGGCCCACTGCGCCTCGCACGCCTGACGCTCCGCCTCCGACAGCCGTGCCTCGCTCAGCCTGCAACATACACACAAAGTCCATTTCAACACGTTTATTTTTACTTTCATTTCATCCTCTTGATCCTCTTGATCCAGGGCTGTCAACGTCATTTCAGTCGGAGTTATGTTGTTGTTTTCCTGAGAAAGTAAGCTTTAAAATGAAGTATAACGTGCCATGGTATCTCATTAGCATCCCAGCCCACGGACCAGAGTTTGACATGCCTGAAATGATGACCAGAGAGAGAGACCAGAGTGTGAGTGACCAGAGAGCGAGAGACCAGAGTGTGAGTGACCAGAGAGAGAGAGACCAGAGTGTGAGTGACCAGAGAGAGAGACCAGAGTGTGAGTGACCAGAGAGAGAGACCAGAGTGTGAGTGACCAGAGTGTGAGTGACCAGAGAGAGAGACCAGAGTGTGAGTGACCAGAGAGAGAGACCAGAGTGTGAGTGACCAGAGAGAGAGACCAGAGTGTGAGTGACCAGAGAGCGAGAGACCAGAGTGTGAGTGACCAGAGAGAGAGACCAGAGTGTGAGTGACCAGAGAGCGAGAGACCAGAGTGTGAGTGACCAGAGAGCGAGAGACCAGAGTGTGAGTGACCAGAGAGAGAGACCAGAGTGTGAGTGACCAGAGAGAGAGACCAGAGTGTGAGTGACCAGAGTGTGAGTGACCAGAAAGAGTGACATACCAGAGAGAGATAGAGACCTCAGAGAAGTAGAGACACCAAGGGGAGACCAGAGAGAGTGAGAGTGAGAGTGAGAGAGAGAGAGAGAAAGAAATGTGAGAGTGAGACACCAGAAAGACATCAGAGTTAAGAGACCAGAGAGAGACACCGGAGTGAGAGAGAGTTACCTGCTGAGTAGATACTGTGAGTTGTGGGCGGGGTGCTGCGGTTGCTCCGAGGGGCCCTGGTTGGGGCTGGGGTTGCCGGGGTTACTGGCGCCGGTGGACAGGATGGAGCTGGAGCGTCCGGAGACTCTGGAGGCGTTGCGGGCAGACTCCAGCTGCTGCCGGGCGGCCTGGGCCTGCTGCCGCTCCAGCTGCAGCTGCATCTGGAGCTGCTGGAGCTGAGAGGCCGAGGGTCCCGCGCTGAGCTGGCCCCCCGCCGAGCGCCGCACCCCGGACAGCTGCGACAGGAGCTCTGCACACGGCACCAAATAGCTCCAGGGTCAAACACACACACGGTCCACTACATTCAACACATTCATATGACAACACACATGGGGAGGGAGTTTACAAGTTTTTATCTCCGGCCCCTCTCTCACTGGTCTCACTCTCCGGTCCCCCTCTCTCACTGGTCTCACTCTCCGGTCCCCCTCTCTCACTCTCCAGTCCCCTTCTCACTCGCCGGTCTCGCTCGGCAGTCTCGCACCCCGGTCTCGCACCCCGGTCTCGCACCCCGGTCTCGCACCCCGGTCTCGCACCCCGGTCTCGCACCCCGGTCTCGCACCCCGGTCTCGCACCCCGGTCTCGCACCCCGGTCTCGCACCCCGGTCTCGCACCCCGGTCTCGCTCCCCGGTCTCGCTCTCCGGTCTCGCTCCCCGGTCTCGCTCTCCGGTCTCGCTCTCCGGTCTCGCTCTCCGGTCTCGCTCTCCGGTCTCGCTCTCCGGTCTCGCTCTCTCCGGTCTCGCTCTCCGGTCTCGCTCTCCGGTCTCGCTCTCCGGTCTCGCTCTCCGGTCTCGCTCTCCGGTCTCGCTCTCCGGTCTCGTCCCGGTCTCGCTCTCCGGTCTCGCTCTCCGGTCTCGCTCTCCGGTCTCGCTCTCCCGGTCTCGCTCTCCGGTCTCGCTCTCCGGTCTCGCTCTCCGGTCTCGCTCTCCGGTCTCGCTCTCCGGTCTCGCTCTCCGGTCTCGCTCTCCGGTCTCGCTCTCCGGTCTCGCTCTCCGGTCTCGCTCTCCGGTCTCGCTCTCCGGTCTCGCTCTCCGGTCTCGCTCTCCGGTCTCGCTCTCCGGTCTCGCTCTCCGGTCTCGCTCTCCGGTCTCGCTCTCCGGTCTCGCTCTCCGGTCTCGCTCTCCGGTCTCGCTCTCCGGTCTCGCTCTCCGGTCTCGCTCTCCGGTCTCGCTCTCCGGTCTCGCTCTCCGGTCTCGCTCTCCGGTCTCGCTCTCCGGTCTCGCTCTCCGGTCTCGCCTCTCCGGTCTCGCTCTCCGGTCTCGCTCTCCGGTCTCGCTCTCCGGTCTCGCTCTCCGGTCTCGCTCTCTGGTCTCGCTCTCCGGTCTCGCTCTCCGGTCTCGCTCTCCGGTCTCGCTCTCTGGTCTCGCTCTCTGGTCTCGCTCTCTGGTCTCGCTCTCTGGTCTCGCTCTCTGATCTCACTCTCTTTGCGATGTTGCCTAACAACCAAACACAGCTCTTTCTTACAAATACAAATGCAGAGTCCTGACCTGCAATGGGGTCCATGGCCTCTCGGCTGTAGCTGGAGCTCTGGGAGGTGCTCTGACTGTTGGAGAGCCCCCCGGTGGTGCTGCTCGTGAAGTGCATGTTGGAGCGCCGCCCACGGGGTCCTCCTAGTCCACGGCCGGGGTGGAACATCCTCCTGACGTGCCTCACTCCACTGGACTCATCGTGAAGGCGCCGATAAGGAAGAACAAAGTGTGGAGGACACGGGAAAAATCTTTCCAACTATGGTAAGTGTCGAAAATCAGATTTCTAGACTAGTTTAGAGCTGCTCTCCCTTTCTCTCTCTGCTCTCTCAATGCTCTCTCAATGCTCTCTCCCCGTGCTCTCTCTCTACTCTCCCCCAGCTCTCTAGAAGTGGAGAGAAAATTAATTCTATTGGACACATATACACACATACAGTACATAGAGACACACACACATAAACACATACACACAGACATACACACATACATACACGGATACATACAGGTGGCCTCTCCTTCTCAGATCTGAATAAGTGAGTGTGGTGAAAGGATATGAGGTCTCTGGGTGCTCTGTGTTCGAGTGTGAGGTGAGCCGCAAAGTCATCGGTCACATGGTTGGGGTCTCCGCCGGGCAGCGCCGCACATATGGGGCAGATCTGGGAACAGAAAGACACACATCGTCAAACTTACACATTACAAAGACGCCTCATGTGTTGTCGCTCCTCCTCCGGGTACAGACCACTTCGGTGGAGGTCTCTGTGTGCTCCGCCGCCACGTGCTCCTGCAGAGACAGCTCCGTGTAGCCCATCCTCCCGCAGTACGGACACGTGAACGCCTGCGGCTGCTCCACCGAGAACGCCTCGCCGCCATAATACAGGTCTGAGGGAACAAGGACAGTTATGTTTTCTTTCTTACTTTATTTGATTTTGCAAAAGAACAAACAGTACAGACCAAAAGTTTGGACACACTTTCTCATTCAAAGAGTTTCTTTCTGTTCAAGACTATTGTTTGTAGATCCACATCAGGCTGTGTAAGGGCTGTTTGACCAATAAGGAGAGAGATGGTGCTGGGCCACATGACCTCCACAGTCACCAGACCTGAACCCAGTCCAGATGGTTTTGGACCTGAACCCAGTCCAGATGGTTTTGGGGCTGGACCACAGAGTGGTCAAAAAGTGCTAAGCATCATGGGAACTCCTTCAAGACTGTTGAAGACCATTTCAGGTCCTCTTGAAGCTCATCCAGAGAATGCCAAGAGTGAAGCAGTATCAGAGCAAAAGGTGCTACTTTGAAGAACCAGAATATAACACATATTGTCACTTGGTTCATACTTTTTTTTGTACGTTCATAATTGCACATGAGTTAATTCATAGTTTTTATGCCTTCAGTGTGAATCTACAATTTTCATAATCATGAAAATAAAAAACTCTTTGAATGAGAAGGTGTGTCCAAACTTTTGGTCTAAAAAAAATATCTGGAGAGATACATATTTTAAGGGATACAACAGATAACGTGTGTGTGTGGGTGGAACAGTTCATTGCACAACATTTTTATTAATATGTAGTAGGGGTGGGCGATATGGCCTAAAATTCATATTGCGGTATAATTTGGGACACAGACGGTAGACGGTATATATTGCGGTATAATTTGGTGTGTGAATTTCAATATAGGTCTAGCAGGTTCTTGCATAAAATAGTCAAGATTGTTACTTATTTATATATTAGAATCTGATATATATATTTTTTGAGTTAGAAAATCAGTTGTGAGACGAATAAAGAGACAAATGTTGTAACATACATTATTTATGTATGTTACAGTAAATACCATTCACTGTAAAAGCAATTTTTAAAAAGAAAAACATATGCATTCATTTAAAATATAAAAAACTCACAAATGTTGAAATCAAAGTCTGTAGGAGTTAGACATGGTCATTATTTATAGTTTCTGAGAGTTTTGTGCAGGTACATGACTTCAGTAAAAGCTATTGTTCGTTTACAAAGCTGGTCTTGCCATTTGTTGACGCTCCCTAAGCGCTTTTCTCTGCGCTGGATGATTCAATGGATTTATGTTCATTAAAACAGCGCATTGGATTTGAACAATTCATGTAAATGATCATTTTGGCACAATTAATTTTGTTTAACAAAGTAGCTTTCGTGAGATATTGACCGCGGAGGTCCGAATCTGACGCTAACTTTCCAAAACTTCTGCTGTGATGCTGCGGACACGGCACACGCATGGATCTTGGCTCACACTGACGCTTCGAGCCTACGCCCCTTTGACACTGATTGGCCAAAAGGTAGACTCTTAAACTGTGATTACTGTGTGTGTATTTACCTCTGCTGGGGCCGCTGTGACAACAATACAGAGACAGAAACACGGTGTTAATGCCGTGCTGTTGTTCGTTGTTTCCAGTGGTGTCTGCTAGGCTAATGCTGCTAGGCTAATAGTGCTAGGCTAATGCTGCTGAATGCCGGTTTGTTTTGGTCCTTTCTGCTGGCGTCAGAGCCTGCGCAATTTGATGACATAATGACCTATTGCAATATGCCGGTATAACAAAAATCTCTACCGTGGGCCAAATTTATACCGTCTACCGCTTATACAGTTTATATCGCCCAGCCCTAATATGTAGAATATAATACAACATTTAAAAAAGACAGATAATAAGCATAATACTGGATGAGAGAGAGCACAGGGACGAGAAGACGAGAGAGTCCGACTCACCGAAGTCCACCCGGGTCAATATACACTGCATGGGATGTTCTGTGGTGTGGCGGGTCGTGGTGGCTCCGCTCTCATAACACGACGCGCACAAGTCGTAGTCGTAGCAGATTAGACACTTGTATCTCCGACCTCTGAAGTTTCCCTTTAAACACGCGTCACAGCTGACACCTGCAACACAACAACAACACACAGGTTTTAGAACTATTAAAACATTATGGAGAACTGTGGAACATTTCAATTGGATTACACTTAATAACTCAGGCCTCAGAGTTCACACAGCGGCAGGTTACAATACAAGTTAAAAGTTAAAAACAAAAAACAAAACAAGTTAACAATTCCCAAAAGTCAAACAAATCTACCAGAGTTCAACAATTTTGAGGCAGAGGGCACAAAAGAATTGGAAAAACATTTTATTTTCCGCGCTGCAGTGATACATGTTTCCATCGTGGTATATGAGAAATTGTATAATGTGTCATCTTTGGACGTATTGTCCAATGTTCAATGAGATTCGTTGTTAGAGTATACAGTATACTGTGTATCCTTTATATACTTTCTTTATTAATACTTAAGATCCTTTCATTTCTTTAAGTACAGGCTTGTGCTGTACTTAGGCCCCGTCCACACGTAGCCGGGTCTCTGCTAAACCGCAGATAACTTTCTTTGTTTGCACTTGTCATCCATATGACAAAGCATCATAAACGAATATTTTAAAAAACTCCGGGCAAAGTGGAGATTTTTGAATTCTTATTATGCATTTGCATGTAGACAGAGATAACCGGAGTTTTGCTTTTTTTCACGTCACAGTCTGCCCCAAAAACAACAACAAACAAAACGTGCGACCTCTGATCACTGAGGAAGCATAACGGCTTATTAACCGAGAAAGCGAGGTTAATAAATGTTTTATTATATGACTATTTTTTATTTATGCAAATATCGATCTCCGACTTGGTTTTCCTAATCGTGTTTTTAGCTTTCTGGTCTGTAACGAAGTTGTCAATCTCATCTTGTCTGTTAGTTATTTTTTCTTCGTTATTTTCTGTAATTTCTTCCTCTGCCTCGTCAAACTTGTCCAGATAATAGAATTCACTGGAGAATGCTCCCAGTTGTCGCCCATTATTTCTTTTTTAACGAGGAAACTCAGGAAAGAAAGCGCTGTTCGGACCAATTGTCATGGTAACGGTCTGAGATGGGAAAATATCAGACCGGTAATCAGCCAATCAGAGCGCGCGTACGGTCCAAGTCATATAATAATGGATCTTACTGCCTTAAAAACTGTTCGCTGCTGCAAGCGGTTCACAGCAGCGAACATCTTCGCTCCACATGAGAGAGCAGAAAAGTGATCACAGAGACTCACGCTCAAAAACAACCAAAGCAGGACCTAAACCAGGATTAAACCAGGGCTGAGGACGGGGCTCAGTGCTTGTAAACATATGTCTTTACCCTGACTTTCTTCTATGACTGTAAAAGCTCCGCCCACTTCTGTGTTTTTTCCCCAACGTAGGACGTCAGAGGACTGAAAACGCAGATGTTCCGTTATGTGTGGATGCAAATTGTTTAATAAACGGAGGGGGGGGGGGGGGGGGGGGGGGGGGGGGATATTCGTTTTTTTAAATACCCGGCTACGTGTGAACATGACCCTAATACTCATGTATCTTGTGCCGTGTGCTCCTCTTTCCTACTGTTCTGTAACTTGTGATGCAACACTGACATTTCTCCGTTGTGGGACCAATACAGGATCATCTAAACAAAGTGGATAAGAAAGTGAAGAGTCCTGCAGGAAGTCTCACACACATGTCTCACACACACACACACATGCTGTGGCCCATGTCGCTGGCTCCGGTCTTGATTGACTTGGACAGTCGTGCAGAGCAGTGCAGAGCAGTGTATTGTATGACAGCAGCAGCTCTGAGGCTCAGCCTTGAGCACAAACACAACATGGAGTAAGATCATGTTGTGATCAGTGATGGTGAAGACATGAACCAGACTCTGGTGTTTTGTTTACTGTTGCTGAAAAATAGTTTGAATAAAGTTAGTGAAAAACACAACCCCACCATCACGCACAGCCTTGTCAATCTTTGACTTGTAAACAACAGAGCAGACAGCTCGGAAGTGCGCTGGCTCCACAGCCCTCTCCTCTTTGGTGTTGGAGACACCGGTTCTGAAGCCAGTGACAGCTCAGGAAACTTGGGCTCAACAAGGTTGGTCACAAGGACGAGGGTCTTACATTTTCCACAGAACAACACAGCAGAGGATTTCAGACTCAGTAAACACGTCCTGTCAACAACAACACTGTGCCAACACGACTCAGAGTTCTGACAAAGAGTCATGTTCCAGTAAAAATCTGTTTTTCCTCCAAACATGTGGATTAGTAACCTCCAGGAGCCAGTAGCAGCTAACAGCAGCGAACATGGAGCTGTGTGTTCCGCAGGTGACTGTAGTTTATCTTAAACAGCAGAATAATAATGTGATGAACACAGTTGTTACAGAGCTACACCCGGACAGGACCACAGCTGCACACTCACTCTGCAAACAGCACTAGCATTAGCATTAGCGTTAGCTTGACATGGATGCAAACAAGACATCCGTGGCTAGCTCATGTTAGCTAGCAGCAGTCTTTATGATGTTTGAGGCCGTGACCTGCGGCGCTGAGCGTCTGTGACAGAGCGGTACCTTCATGACGGGACATCCTCCTGGACTCAGGCGCAGAAAACTGAACAATAGTGAAAAACTGAAGAATAGTGTTGTAGAGAGGAGAAGCCGGGGCTGTCGTCCCTGGCCTCTTCCCTCATGAAGCTCCGGCCCCAACAGCGCCCCCCTGCGGCTGTACGGTGTCACTGTTGCTGCATCACCCGCACACGGACACACGGGGGCGCCAACACACCACAGGAGACTTTTAACAGGATCAGATACAAAAGTGTTTCTATGGAACTCTTCAGACATGAGACAAAAGTGTAAGTAGGAACTCACCTTAACCTCCTGAGACCCTGCGACCTCATACGAGGACATTACATTTTTGCCTCTTGGCACAATGATACTCAATTTTTTACATCCTTGACCTGATGGCCACATTTAGGGACACTGCCCGCGCCATCTTGTGGTGATATGATAGAATTACACTTAAGGCAGTAGGAAAGAAATGGCGGGAATATCAGCAAAACACTTCTACAAGAGTTTACAGAAGAAAAATGCCCCAGGTAAAAATTCTATCAACATTTTATGAATGAAATCAATTTATTTATGCACAATAATGTCTCTAGCTTCATATGGAGTTTGAAATTTGAAAAATTTTGATTGTAGTAGCAGGCTAGGATGTCAGTAAAAGTGAAGCACTCGTTTGAGGACGCTAGGACTATGTACCGCTATCTGTTTAGCTAACCGTGTGGAAGATTTAGATGAAGTTACAGTTGTAAATAGTTATTTTGAATCACACATTTGCTCAGTTATGTGGTTTACAGTTGTAAATAGTATATTTAAGTACTAAGTGGTATATGCTAAGTATTGTGAAGTGTTGCTAAATGCTTAATCATAAACATTATAGCTAGGCTATAGCTAGCACATGATAGCCAAGCTATGATGTGTCACTGATATACTGTAGATTTTGATGTTGGTTTTTAAAATTATCATTACAGGCACACTTTCATTATCAAGAGCAGAACAATTGCTGTTGGCAATTGCAGACAACTCTGAGAAGTCCTCTATGACTTCTCAGATGGGGATGATTGCATCATCATCTCATACCTGTCAGTCAGCTTCTGGAGTTTCCCGCGGGGAGAGGCGGCGAGCTGAGGTGGCCATACTCATTGCCCCCCATCTCAGCCGCCACGTGTTGGAGTTCTCCCCGGTGAATGAGAGGGTCGCGTCCCTCCGCCTCCGGGTGGGGGACAAGTCTCTCATTGTTGTGACGGCCTATGGGCCTAACGGCAGTGCCGAGTACCGGCCTTCTTGGAGTCCTTGGGAGGGGTACTGGTCAGTGCACCGCCCGGGGACTCTGTTATTCTCCTGGGGGACTTCAACGCCCATGTGGGAAATGCCAGTGACACTTGGAGAGGGGTGATCGGGAAGAACGGCCCCCCTGATCTGAACCCAAGCGGTGTTCAGTTGTTGGACTTCTGTGCCAGTCACGGTCTGTCCATCACGAACACCATGTTCGAGCACAAGGGTGTCCACCAGTGCACGTGGCACCAGGACACCCTAGACCGGAGGTCAATGATCGACTTTGTTGTCGTATCATCTGACCTTCGACCGCTTGTCTCGGACACTCGGGTGAAGAGAGGGGCGGAGCTGTCAACCGATCATCACCTGGTCGTGAGTTGGATCCGCTGGCAGGGGAGGAAGCCGGTCAGACCTGGCAGACCCAAGCGTGTAGTGAGGGTCTGCTGGGAACGTCTCGCTGAGCCCCCTGTCAGACGGACTTTCAACTTACACCTCCGGGAGAGCTTCTCCCAGGACCCAGAGGAGGGGGACATTGAGTCCGAGTGGACCATGTTCTCTTCCTCTATCGCCAATAAAGCGGCTCGTAGCTGTGGTTGCAAGGTCTCTGGTGCTGGTCCCCGAACCCGGTGGTGGACACCGGCAGTAAGGGATGCCGTCAGGCTGAAGAAGGAGTCCTATCGAGCAATGATGGTTCGTGGGACTCCTGAGGCAGCTGTCCAGTACCTGCAGGCCAAGCGTGCCGCGGCCCGGGCTGTTGCAGAGGCAAAAACCCGGGACTGGGAGGACTTCGGAGAGTCCATGGAGCATGACTATCGGTCGGCCTCAAAAAGGTTCTGGCAAACCCTCCGGCGCCTCAGGAGGGGGAAGCAGTTCTTTGCCAACACCGTGTATGGTGCAGATGGAGAGCTGCTGACCTCGACTGGGGATATTGTAACCCTAACCCTAACCCGGAGATGGTAGCCTTGAAAAACCCCATGCGTTGCAGAGCACAAGACTGCATTGGAAAATCCTGTGTCCGATGCATGACATGCAATGTGTACCTGTGCTTGCAAAGTGAACGCAACTGCTTTGCAGCATTTCACACTTGCCAATAGGGCTCTTCCAAACAGGCAGATTGCTTTCTAGAAAAAGAGAGGGAGCTAGTTTGAAAAAAGCCCCGGTTCAAAAGCTGTTCAGCAGAATTTTACTCTTTTAGGACTGTTAATAATATTTGCCATTATTTGTTCTAGTATTGTATTTATCAATTCAATTCAGCCATATTGAAGGCTTGAAATAGACAGTTTACACAGTATTTTGCAGTTTTATTTATGTATAGCCAATTTTTTGTCATGTGGATGAATGAAGAACAAGGGAACCCAAATTGCAGGACTGAAAATCAAAGTAATTTAATAAAATAAATCCAAGGTAATGTAAAAACAGAACTGAAGCCAGGACAAACGTGGTGGAGACAATGGACGGACAACAAGAGAGGAAGGGCACAGGGTATATATACACACACAGGGACACACAGGTGAATCACATTAGGGCGGGGCAACAATCAACAGGACAGGCAGGATTCAAACTCAACCAGGTCAAAATGTCCACACCATGACATTTTTAGGCTTTGAAGATAGAGCTGTTTGGATTTTATGTCTAACTTTGATGTTTACATTTTTCAAATAAACTGTTATATACTATTTTAGACCAATGGAGTCTATTTGTATTGTATAGTAAGGTCGACCCACTGTACTCATATGAGGACATTGATTTTTGAGAGAAGTACTAATTGGATCAAGCTGAAATTTTGAATTTCAACTAATTAGGACCTTCCGGCCTCAAAGAGCATACATTTTTTCTTTAGGTTATGAGAGACCCACTGTCCTCATACGAGGACATGTTTTTTCTCAAAAACTACTTCCTGTACAAAATCACAATTTAGGTATTATACTTATTGGGTCCTACTTATCCTAAATAGCAAAAAAATATATAAAATGCACACCAGACAAATGCTCGGGTCTCAGGAGGATAATTAACCCAAAATATGATGTTGAACTGCGGCATCACAGGAACCACCTGCGGTAAAGAAGGCTTGTAATTGTAGACCAATGATTTAGTTTTTATTAAACTATTTAATTATTTTATTTATCTACTGTTTTGGATTTACATTTTAGAATAATATAACCAATGTGTTTAATCCCTACAGGAAAGAAACTTTAAAATGAGGTATAACATGCCATGGTACCGCGCACCATCAACACTGAAAGTTACAGGTAATCAATTAATCATTCCAGGGGCCACTCAGAAGGGTCTTGCTGGCCGCATTTTGGCCGTGGGCCATAGTTTGAGTTTACACGTGTGATGTGAAGCCTCCTTCTCTTTGTCTAATTTACCCTTAAATATCATGGTGGAAAAATAACATATATTTTATAAAAACAGTGTAAAACATCACTGGGGGAGTTTGGAAAAGGTGAAATAACTGCACGGCAAATGTATTGTTTTTGTTTTCCTTAAATGTTAATATACTGTCTTGTATTTGGAAATGTTTTTAATTAGGTTTTTTAATTTTTCAGGCCTTAACATCTGCCCACAGGACTAGCAATGAACATTAGCTTAATTTAGCCAACTCAGGCACATTTACATAGAATAATTCTGATTAATGTGCACTGTCCCTTTTCAAATTAATACATAAAAAAATATATATATATCAGAAGATATTCCTTCAATCTAATCTAATGTAAAGATAAGATAGACTTTATTAATCTCACACTGAAGGAATGTACATATCCCTTTGGCACAGATAGTTACTCAGATTGTTCAAGTTAAAAATATAGTCTGTGCAGGATATAATTATGTACAATAAAAGAGTGGCGGTTACAGAGAGAGTGGTCGTGTTGATCCACAGAGCATGAAAACAGAGCCCCACAGAAGCACGGGTCCTGGTGATGCAGTGCGTTATTCCAACACACTGCATCACCATCACTGAACTGCAGTAACCTCTGCGCTCGCACGACCATGACGCGCTCCACAGCACGCGGACACCAGGGACAGGACCAGGACCAGGACCAAGACCAGGACCAGGACCATTACAGCTGTTTCTGGTTTAGGAGCCAGAAATGAGTGACATATCATTATGTTTATATTGTTTATACTAGTGCTACTACTATACTGTTTATTATTTTTCAGCACATTGGCAGGAATAGATAGATAGTACCACTACTACTACTACTACTACTACTACTACTACTACAAATTCTACTACTACCACTACTACTACTACTACTTCTACTACTACTGCTGCTACTACTGTTTATTTTCTTTTTAAAGCACCATAGGCATTATTAGATAGATAGATACTACTACTACACTGTCACTACAACACCATAGCACCATAATAGATAGACAGATAGACAGATAGACAGATAGATAGACAGATAGATAGAGAGATAATCAGATAGATAGACAGATAGACAGATAGATAGAGAGATAGATAGAGAGATAGATAGACAGATAGATAGACAGATAGATAGAGAGATAGACAGATAGATAGAGAGATAGACAGATAGATAGAGAGATAGACAGATAGATAGACAGATAGATAGACAGATAGACAGATAGATAGAGAGATAGACAGATAGATTATTTATAGGAGACTGCAGAGAAACCGCATTCATTACAATCAAATTATATATAAAAAAAAGTTGCGCTTGACTTGTGCTTATTCCAACCCCTTTTTCTCACCCGCGGCTGTGACAGGTTGGACACGTCAAAGCTATGGGTGACCTTCTTCTTCTTCTTCTTCTTCAATTCATGACATCTTGCGTCAGGCGCACACAGGCACACGCCCCAAAACACAACCCCCCCCCCCCCCCAGTATACTACTACTTCATTCAAGGCTTGCCACGCCTTTCAACGTAAACAAACGGGGGCTTGACCAATAGAATCCGTCAGAGATCAGCCGATGATCAGATGACTGAATGGGGGAAAGTATTTAAAACTCTAATGAGGCACTTGATGTGAGTTAATACATAGCGCAGCACCTCAGCAGACGCGCACAAAGATATTTAAGTCTCTCCTTTTTAGACGCGGCTGGGTCTATCTGTATCACACACAGACCGCAAGCGCCTCGTCCCCGCAAGACACGTTTTATATTATAGCATTGTCACTTATTTCTCCCCTTGTGACGCTGTGAAAACCTCTGGAATCGCCTGCGTTGAGATCAAGAAATGATTCAGAAACTCATTTCACTGTGGATTTTACTCCAATGCGCGTTCGTGACTTCGGTTTTTGGGGAGAACGCCGTGCTCAAAGGTAAAGATCTCGCCTCTTTCTCTCTTCTTCTTGCTCCATTGTTCATTCATTCTATTATTTCTCACGTCTTTTCAATATGCAAATGGTTTTAAATCACAAATCACAGCGCGCTAGGCTTGTAACATGGGATACAGTTTTACGACATTGCAGTTCAATCTACCTTTGCGTCGCTTCGTGCGTAAACATATATAGACTGTTTTATTATTGTGTGCAGGTCTTTTGCTTGATACTTGAATAGGAGCAAGTGTGGCTGGTGCGAAGAGAGTGAGAAAAGCAGGCATGGACTCAGGCTGTGGTGGTATACGTGTCCTTATGAGGGGGAGAGGAGCCTACGGTGGGAACTATTACGCACAAGCCACGTTTTGGTTCCAGCTTTTCTCGCTTCTATAAAGATTGAACCGCAGCTGAAGTCATTTAAAGCGGTGTTCCAGCAAGAGGGCAGCGCGTTCCCAGGCACATATTTGACATTTAAGCTTTGCCTGGACTCTACCTCCTGTAATTTACCTATATTTAACCCTAAAAACAGCCTTGTGCAATTCAAATATGTGGTTTTCAAGGTTGTCCTGGACTAGAGGCTTTCACATATACACACGTTTTTTCATATAAAACGTAGAATAAAGTTGACATTATCATTTATTGTCAATGGTGTTTTGGAAGTGGGGATAAATGTGGCGTAGATGCAAGATTTTTTGGAGTTTCAATTATTTTTTGTAAATAGTCCTAAATCCCAACAGCAGTCGTCTTGGGGGACTTAACACAGTTGTGGATTTGCCAAGACAGATCAGAGAATCGAGCAGTTTGAAGAAGAGAAATGATAGCAAACACATAGGATGCATTGGTCTACAGGGTAAATGTCCAAAAAATAATATCCACAAATGTCCCGGAGCATCAAAGCCCTTAGAACCTCCTGCATTGACAAGGAACCATTTAAATAATAGTAAAAATGCTAATAATTTTGGGGAAAAAAGTGAGAAACCTCGAGAAAGAGAGAGATTGGCTCCCACGGACACACAGGCTGTAGATCCAGGACTCAGGCTCCAATCTCTATGAGCACAATACTGAAAAGAAATGTCGCCTTTTTGGGTTTGAAATGCAAGAAGTGTGTGTGTTTTGATGCAACGCCGAGGACTTTCTCCCCATTTCGTCAAAGACAATAGACTCTTTTGCACCTGCATGTAATAACTTGTTTTACCACGATCTGGAGACGGCACAGTATTTTCCCCAACCCTCAAACAAAATGGACCGTATCATTAGCGAATTAAATACCTGAGCAGACTCCAAAGTAATGTTTTGTCTCTCCTTCTGCCCGTTGTCAGGTGAAGCCAGTGATCTGGATGAGCTGTCCGCGACCCGCAAGCCCAAAGAAGGTTCCATTAAATTCAACATGAGAAAAAGCCTGGATTTGGAGCACGAAGGATGTTTTCTGGAGACGGGGAAGAAGGAATGTCTGGAGAAGTGCGGATTCAACGCTACATCCAAAAGTATTTTCATCATCCACGGCTGGACGGTGAGCTCAAAGTGGCACATCATGGCGTTTGTTGCATAGCTCCAGGTGTAAAAACTAAGGCCCACAAGTTGAAATACAGACCAAGTTCAGGGTTAACTATACGTACATCCCAAAAAGAAAAAGATGGAATACCAATCTTTTTGAATTCTGCAAAAACAAAAATACTGGGCGTCTTATTTATAAAACATGCGTATGAGACTATTCAATTCCATTCATTCTTGTATAGCCCTAAATTACTCAAAGGTTATCTTGGAAGACTTTAAGGTATATAGGAGGATTTTCTTCTTCCAGGTGGAGTATCTAGACCACGGGTGTCAAACCGGTTCTAGAAAGGCCCAGTGTGGCTGCAGAAGGAACAACGGACTCCAACAGACTCCTCAAATCTTCAGATTAAAACTGGACTCACCCAAAGAAATGAGAAGGAGTCTGGGGAGCTCTGACTTAACTAAAATCTGAAGCCACACCGGCCCTTTGAGGAGCCAGTTTGACACCCCTGATCTAGACTATTGGGTTCTCCTAATTGTGAATCATCCAGTAGGTATTCCTTCTGGAGAGGGGGGCCGTTCTTTCCGGAACATCTTTCTAATATATCTTTTTAGCAAAACAGCTGAATTCACCAACACAGATCAGAGAATCAAAAGTGTGCGTACAATTTTACGTCATTTTAAGTTTGGGATTTCAACCAAATTGACTTAGAAAGTAGTAGTTTGGTCAAAACAAACTGGCGTCTTCTTGAGCTGGAGCTTTCGGAGACTAGACAGAGTGTGGAAGTTTTTGTTGGGTTTGATTGGTGAGTTTCTTTTAAAAATCCTTTAAGTTTTGTCAAAGAGGCTCTAGATATTTCCACTGATTTAGTAGTAGTAATAATTAATTTATTTTTAAACTTATGTATAAAAGATGTACGTTTTAAGCCACACACAGAGACAGACAAAAAAGACCGACCAAGACCAAACACTCTCTGACCCTACACCTCCCTGTGCTAACGGCCTCGCTCTTTCCTCCTTCACTCATTGACTGCCATTGACGTATTTGTCTGAGACCCTCTATTCAACTGGGGATTACAGGACAATCAAAATAGCTAAAAACAAACTTATTTTTGCTGATCAAAGTAGACATTCCAGTCTTTCAGAATCTGGTTTCACATTTCACATTAAAACAGTCTCCCCCCTTAGCTCAGAAAAGTTATTCTTGTCGTCTTAGTAGAAATAGTTGCTTAGTTCTTCTCTAACTATTTTACAATTGTCTGATATAGAAAAACAGGTGGCTTTAGTTCCTCCCTGTAATAATCTACGACCTGTAAGATTCGCTGGAGGGAAACGGTTTAACCAATGACGAGGGACCTTTTGAAGGATTTGAATTTATCTCGACCAATCAGGGAGCGGCAGGTGCGAGCATGGCCAGGTCCAACCAGTAACTGTCTACAAACAAGTTTAAAAAACAAAAGAACTGGTTGTTTTTACGGTCAAAAGTATAAAATTGGTTACATGTTTTTGTATTTCGACATTGTGTCTAAACCTACTAGAAAAATATCATCAATAACAAATATAAAAAATAAAAGTATAACCTCAGATTGATAGTGAACAATTTTCTCTCAATTCTCAGATGATTTTATTTATATGCACCTTACATTTTCAGGAAGTGCTACATATTAAAATAAAATACCACAAACAAAAACAAAACAAAACTACAAGAAAAATCCCTATAGGCCTGACTCACTTTAAAAGCCCGATTGTGTTATCAAACAGTAAAACGGGGCCTCAATCGTCTCGGGGGCCATGGTTTGGACTAGTTTAGGCCCTTATCAAGCTCCGGGCAACTCCAGCCTCTGCATCAAAGCGTGTGGAAGAATGTGGCGAGGGAACGTGAGACCGGCGCCCGCTCTGTGCAAACGCCGTTAGCGGTCGGGGGCGGCTGATTGACCCGGCTCTCTCCCCTCTTCGCAGATGAGTGGCATGTTTGAGAACTGGATGCACAAGCTGGTCTCGGCCGTGATGCAGAGGGAGACCCAAGCCAACGTGGTGGTGGTGGACTGGATCCCCATGGCCCAGCAGCTGTACCCGGACGCGGTCAACCATACGCGGGGAGTGGGACAGGACATCGCCGACATGTTGGACTGGCTTCAGGTGAGAGAGGAAGTAGTTTAGAGACTCGATAAATGCATGTGATTGATTTGATTCCATTAATGGGAGGAGAAATTATACATTTTTATAAGTATAGATTCATAATGCTGCACACTTTTGTATTTTTGCACAATCTGAGTGAGTTTATCTGTGCCAAGTGTGACATGTATCAGACTCGATCTGTCTCTATCTCTATCTCTATATCTATATCTCTATCTCTATTGAATATAGATTAGATTTGAATATTATTTGTCCAATCGGGAAGAAGCATAAAATATTTTCCATTCAATCTATTGTTCTCAAAGTTTTAGTTACATCCATCTCTCAAAAACCCTTTCTCTCCCACCAAAACTGAAACAACGACATCCCAATTCTGAATCTTGTCTTAAAACGGCGAAACTTGAGCGCGCACTGAAGGCCATAAAGCGTTTGTGGGTTTTATAATATACAGTTTTTTCCCCAGATTGCATTCCAAAGCCAAGGTCTCGCTGCTGGCTGCTCCCTGCCTTTCCGTGCGGCTTATAAACGCAAGGTGTCCATAGTATTTAGGCCTGTGACTAAATCGGATACCGGGCGTTCTCATGTGCTCAGTTGATTTGTGGAGCTGTCACGATCGCACTTAAAGCAACAGCACTGCGTGTCCTGGAGCAAAAAAAATCATTTGACAAGCCATAAAACAGAAAGGGGAACACTGTCCGATTCTAATTGGCCCAAATAAAAGCTCTACTTTGTGCTACCTCGGCACGTACTGTAGCGGCCCTCGTTAAGCCCGGTTGTGCCAAAATTAGCGTAGAAAAACCCCACTGCCGGATGGTTGTAAACACAAACAAAAGAGGTTTTCATGGAGACAAACCGGGGCAGATGGTGCGTGGATTTGAGTCGGTAAAAGCCGCAAATGTGAGCGTGACTGACTACAGCTGGCTGCGGTCCAGGGCGTGCTGGTTCGAGCTGGATCCACTTTGGCAGCAGCTGATTGTAAAAGGTTGTCCTCTTCTCCGCAGGCTGAAGCAGAAATGCCGCTGGGAAATGTGCATCTGATCGGGTACAGCCTCGGCGCGCACGTGGCGGGCTACGCTGGAACCTTCGTCCAAGGAACCATCGGGAGGATCACAGGTAATGAAAATGATTGGATTTATTTTTGTGTAGTAAAATGTGTTGTAGGTGAAGGTACAGAGGAAAACCGGACGCCACATGTAATGATTTCTATTGCCAAAGCTAACAAGCAAACTTAACATTCTATTCAATGTATTTTTGTATAGCCCTAAATCACAACGGTTGGAGGACTTTACAAAACCGTCAAATTTGCCAACACAGATTAGAGAATCAAACACAATAAATGCTATGAAAACAAACCCATAGAGCCATTGGTTCATTTGGGGCAAAGATCAATGTCTGTAAACTTAAAGTCCTTCTGTCGTTGATTGTCGAGTGTCCTGGATCATCACCACGGCCCTGCATCGGCAAGAAGATACTCTTAAAAACCCAATGGAAGACAATAAATCGAGGGCTGTAGAACGAGGACCTTTCTTACAAAGCACTTACAAACTTTAGAGTCTTGTGTATGACTCGTTGAAGTTTCGGAAATTCAGGGTAAATTGTAAACGTAGCATTTACAGATAGCTTTGGCAAACAGTATTCTATGGCAGTCAAGGTGCTGGTCCTGAACTGGTCTGAGATTGGCTCTGGATTAGTTCTGGGTCTGAGCCGAGTCAGCTTGTGTTTCCACCAGAGAACAGCCAATGGTAGTTACCCTAGCAACTCACTGTTTACACACTAACCGTTAGCATTTAGCCTGGTAATAAACTGTTTTTAAGCTGTATTTCAAGTTATATTTACCAGTTTTTAAACTTATAAAACTGTTAGATATTTTTTCTATCTAATATGAATCATTTACTTTGAATAAATCTGGTAAACTAAATAATTTCGGCAAAATGACGGCTGAGTTCCAGTCGTTTCAGAATTCTGGCAGTGCTAGTGTCAAGCGGCAGCGTACTTCAATCTGTGGAAAAATATCTTGCTCTGTGAAATGCACTATACAAGGAAAGCTGACTCACTGACTGTGTTGTTAGGCTTGGACCCGGCTGGCCCCATGTTCGAGGGAGCGACGGAGCAGAAGCGTCTCTCCTCGGACGACGCAGACTTCGTGGACGTGCTTCACACTTACACTCGTGAAGCTCTGGGAGTCAGTATCGGGATCCAGCAGCCCATCGGAGACATCGACATCTACCCCAACGGAGGAGACGTCCAGCCGGGCTGCGCCATCGGTGATGTCCTGGCGGTGGCTGGAAGTAAGTCAAAAACAAAAGACAAAATTGCCTGATGCTTAGAAGGGTCTTTAAGCAAGAAAAATATTTTCAATTCAACTTCATGACAGACATTTTTGTTTCTCAAATATGTTCCATATTAAATCAAATGGCAACTACTTCAAAACGAGTCCGGCCCTCCACAATGTACCGATATGTGGCCTTCCGAAAGATAGTAATTGGTCACCCCTGGTCTAAGTCCAATTTTTTTACGTAAAGAATGATTGTGCTACACTGCAAAAAGTGATTTACAAATAAGAAAAAAAATGCTCAAATTTGGCAACATTTATTGTAATTTGAGCACATTTTGACTGTGCCTTAAAACAAGATTTGTCAATGCCATCCATCCATTTTCTTCCCTTTAATCCATTTCTGGGTCGGGGGGGTGGCCAGAGATGCCACCCAGTCACAGAGCACCAGCCCCTCACTGATCCTCCTGCAGGTGGTGAGTCCACAGAAGCTGAGATCTTTCAGTGGGAGCTTCAGGCAAAGTAGGGTTAAGTGTCTTGCCCACGGACACAACGACAGCAGTCATCAGTGGGAGTCGTGAAGTAGGTCTTACGGTGGGCTCGAACCCACGACCTTCAGGTTCAAAGGCCAATGCTCTACCAACTGAGCTACTGTCGCCCCCAGATTTGTCAATGGGACAAAGCAAAAAGGATCTTGTTTTAAACATATACAAGAAATGTCTCCCTTTGAATGTGGAAAATAACGCAACAGTTCTTCAAATAAGACTAAATGGTTTTGTCCCATCTTGTTTTAACACAGTCAAAAAAACTTGATTCAAGCATTTATTACATAATTTTTTGTAGTGTAGACTTCCGCCTTTGTCCGAGGTTGAAGTCTGGCACCAAAACATATCTTGTGATTAAGTAGCACTAGCTTCTTTACATGTTTTGCCTTATCAAAACAACCTTCTAAGCCTTAAACATAAGAATACATTGCCGAAATCTCTGTCCATACCCCTCCAACGACACGGTTTCTAACATCCTGTTAGGATTTAAGCAGACAGAGACGGATCGTGGTGTGCCAAACTCTGGAAGTTTATTTAAGTTTCTCTCAAGTTCCACTGGTTTACTCTGTTTCTTTCTCTCAGACAGAATAAAGGCAGTACACAGTTTATATAGTCATTGTCACGTCACACATCGAAAGACATACGTGTCACAAAGAGACAGTCAAATCATAGTCATAACATGGAGTCCTTGTAGAGTCCTTGTAGAGTCCTGCACGTAGGCCATATTGCTATCTAATACTAACACCCTCCCCTTTGATCACATAATCACATGTGATCACTCAAATCGATCAATCAATAAAGTGGAAAAAGAAAAAAAAAAAAAAAAATAATTCCAAAAAAAAACTTTAAAAAAATATTAAAAACAAAGAAAATGTATGCATTAAACTCATAATCATCAAATCAATATCAGTGGATTTTATCCTCCATCCTGGGAAAAAAATAAAAAACAAAAATAAAGTAAATAAACAAACAAAAAACAAATCAAAAATAAAAACAAACAAAAATATAAACAAACAAAAACTATTGGACACACAAGAACTCAGCAGATTCAGTCAAAACACAGACAAAAACGAGCTGAGTCTCAAATTTGAAGCTAATTTCACTTTTATTACTCTACTTTTATTCTAATGCTAATTGTTTACACTTCACTTATTTCACTGTATTATTTTCACTTTTTAATCTTAGACTGTGTACTTTACTTTCACTATTCACTATAGTTTAAAACTATTCTAATCTATTCACATAAATCTCTCTGTTCTGTGGTTTACACTCTAATTATCAGTGGCATATTATTAGTGGGATTTTGCTCCATGTCTATTCTCATTCTCAGGAATAAAACTGTGAACACAGTAAGGCAAATGGTCAACATTTACACTTCTATAGTGGTCAGTGATTTATTACTTTTTATTATCTAAAGATATTATTGTCAGGCAGTTTGGGATGAATGAACATCTTTAATCAAATTATTATTATCCTTACAAGAGCTAATCTATTTTAGCAGGTTTGGGGTTGGGGTCAGTTATTCTACAATGGTGTTTGTGCTGGAAACTTCTCAATATCTAAATATCTACTATTGTGTTTTTGTGCTATACCCAAATACATCAAAATGCTTTTAAATGCTTTTGAATCTCTGTTGGTTCTAATCTATCTCATTGATCTAGGCATTAATCTAGGCTACACTCATATGAACTTTTTGTATTGTCAACATTCACTCATGTTTGAACACAAGTGAATTTGGCAAGTATCTAATAAAACTGTACTTAACTTTATCTACTTTTGAAGTAAATGCTTGTGAAATGGTCCCTTTACCATTTGATATTAGCACTGGCTAAGAATATTCTCTATTTTTGAAAGCTATGGTTGATGCATTTATCTATTCCTATTTCTACACTATTGTGACTCTAAAGTTTGGCTGCAGTTTGAGCAAAGGCATATTTCTAATTTGTGACTTCTGTCACTTTTAATGTCTCTAACATAACTCTGATTCTAATATTCTAGCTGCTCTATCAGAAAGATAACATTTTATGGAACTATTTTAACTCTTACGTGGAAATGTGTTTATGAACAACAAAGAAAGGACAATTCTACTTTTTTACTACTAATTTAACATCTACTAAAACGCTACAATACTCATACTTTATCATTTTAAAACATTTTAACAGTTGCTCAGTCTCCCAGACAAAAAAAGTCAAAGTTTTTGTCTGTCAGATGTCTGAATACTTAACATTTATATTGCATTTGGTCACAGGTTCTGGTTGTAGCAATAGCATCGGCAATAGACGTTTTCATTGGCTGGTTCTTGTTCTGCAAATGGCTGTGTCCAATAGATCATCAGATGTCCAGAAGCTAGGGACAAACAAAAACAAAAGAAAGAATCATGAGTATCTGTCTCATTTAGCACTCATCAATGCATGATTTCAAAAATATAAACATCACTCCCCAGTTTTCTCTCTCAGGTCCTCAGATCCTCAGGGTCCCCTGAGGGTGAGTCTCAGTCGTCATCAGGTCAGGTCATCTTGGACATCAGTAGGGTCCAAGCCATGGTTCTGGTTCTCCAGTTGGACATCAGATCTCCAGATACAGTCTTTTCAGTTGAAGCACATCAGGTCATTTGCGATGCACTTCTGGTCAATGGTGCAGTGTCTCAGTTCCTGTACACAGCTTGTTATGCAATAGTTACTCTCTATGGTTAAGTCACTTTGATTCTACTTTAAAGACAATTTCTATTCATGCTGTTGCTAATGTCTCTCAGACAAAAAGCAAGCGCAGTTTACTTCTCTAATTTGTGTTTTTATCAGATCTAATTCTCATCAATGTAATTACTTCACACAGTACAAAATCAACAAATCAAAAGTGTCAGGACAGAGGTCAATTAAGTCCATGACAATATAGAATTCAAATGAACATTTCTGGTCTCAAAAAATACTGATTCAACTAAAGATTCAAGTGATAGACAATTAAAAATATGTGTTTACATTGGAGTAAACTTTTAAAATGCTTTTTTCTCATGTTCTGCTTTTTCATGTATCTATATGTAAATGTGAATGTGTGAGTGTATGAGTGTGTATGTGTGTGTGTGTGTGTGTGTGTATGAATTTTGGGGTTGTCTCTCCAGACTCCACGAACCACCTGTAGGTCTCAAAGGTCACACTGTGGTGATGTAAACCACGTAGACACACTTTCAACTCCCTCTAGGTCTCTACCTGACGCTCCACCCATCACGTCTCCAGATACCTCTCTTTCATGGCCCCGGTCTCTCTCCCACTTACTTCTGTAGTGGGGGGAGGGGCAAGGAGGTGGCATTTTCCTTTGCTCTTTGATCTGTGACCTGTGGCTGGGTGGGCTTTGCGCTGTCCAGTGTCCAGCAGTGACCTCTCGTACAGTGAGGCAGAGTCTGAAAAACAATCCTTGAAACGGCATTGTTTTTCTCTCTGAAGTCAAAACAATTTGAGCGCTCTGGGTTTTCCCAAGCGCTATGTAAATAAAGATTACTTATTATCTTACTAATGATGACATTTGAAGACCAGAAACGCTCAATATAAAAAAACAAGACTCAAATCTCTTAAACCTTCAAACTTTAAAATATGTATTATGTACTTTTGTACTGTGTGATGTTTTTAATCTTGAACATCTTGGGTTTCACTTTATGGACTTTCCCTTTTACACTTATTTATCTCAGCATCTATTCTACTAATTTAAAATAATTGCAGCATTTTTCAAATGAAGTCAGTATGAATTGGAGCACATTTTAGACCAGGCTCCTGTGCTGCGTGCATCTGCAGCAGGAGGAAGGTCAGGTGCATAGTCAAAACAAAAACAAAAGTCACCACTTGAATGTGAATTGGGTGAATTGGGTAGTTTAACTTAATAATATAATACTTTTACAGCCTAATTCCCTCTTTCTTTTTTAGACGAAGTCTACAATCATTAATCACTTTTAACAGATTCTAATTTAAATGTTTGAAAAACGGCTTTTGTAACTAAAAATAAAAAATACATGAAAAAATTCTCACAAACAGCTATGAAATATATCAGAGATACAATAATGGACTCACAAAATAAGCAGCAGATTTAAAAAGAAAAGCAAAGCTTTTTGTACTAATCTTTGGGTTTCAAAAACATACTAATTCAAAACTTCTATTCCCTAATGGTGTTTAAAAACGTTTAACTGTGTCTAACACAATGTTCAAATGGCAAATTTAGCAAATTTAACGGAATAACAACTATGAAAAGCCAAAATTCCTAAAGCAGTAGCTTTGCTTCAGATTCACAGCCAGAGCAGCGAAGGAGGGGGCCGTTTCCCTGACAACGGCAGCAGATAGAGCACACACAGGCAGAAAGATACAGAAGAATAACTTTCAAGATTACTTTGTTAAGCGAATATAACTGATGTTGTTCTTTATACTTTTGTCATCCAAATCTAGAAGTGATCACTTTCCACACTAGTAACAAAAGGCACTCTTTAGTGTTTAACGTTTACGCTTCTATTTTATTGAGGTAGCAAACTAATTTAAACTCAAAATCTCTTTCTAAAAAACAAAAACAACTGTTGGATACAACCCTCTCATAGCTCAACTGTAGATACAACTCGGCAAAAAATGTAAATAACTCACGAAAGCTCTCATAGCTCAACTTTAGATAAAACTCTGTATTCTCCGGTGAACTCTGTTCACTCCAAAAAACAAAAACTCCCTTTTTCTGTATGTAATTTAAACCGTGATCACTGAAATATTGTTGCTTCTTTACTTTTGTCATTTATCAGCCTGAAATTCGTCAATTTCAAAGCTTTTGTAACAAAGGCCTCCTTAACACGTTTCCCTTTTTATAATAACTTTTATGTTTACACCATGGTTTCACTTAGGCCTTTTCACTTATGGATCCTATACACTTTATGGCCAACACTTTTTGGATCCTATACACTTTATGGCCTTTTCACTTATGGATCCTTCACTCACTTTATGGCCTTTTCACTTATGGATCCTTCACTCACTTTATGGCCTTTTCACTTATGGATCCTTCACTCACTTTATGGCCTTTTCACTTATGGATCCTTCACTCACTTTATGGCCTTTTCACTTATGGATCCTTCACTCACTTTATGGCCTTTTCACTTATGGATCCTTCACACACTTTATGGCCTTTTCACTTATGGATCCTCACTTATTTGAACACAATTTAGAGAGTTCGACAGACCTCAAAAACACACCCAAATTTAGCTAGTATCCAATTATGCAGACTTTACATTTAAAAAGGTGTCTGCTTACCTTATTCTTGTCAAACAGGTGCATGCACGGGCTGTCCAAGAGGTCTGCCAACTCTTTTCCGCGTCGGAATCTTCAATTTAAAAAAAAAAACAAAAGTGACAGAAGCGACAAGAAGCATCCAGGAACAGCTCTTCCAGCATGCTGGAATCTCCGCTCCCAGACACAGCATGCCGATCTCCCACGCAGAGGAAAAGAAACAGAGCAAGCTCCCTCAAAACAATCCAGAGAATGGCACACACTGAGCCGCGCATTCTCCACCAAATCTGTTAGGATTTAGCAGACAGAGACGGATCGTGGTGTGCCAAACTCTGGAAGTTTATTTAAGTTTCTCTCAAGTTCCACTGGTTTACTCTGTTTCTTTCTCTCAGACAGAATAAAGGCAGTACACAGTTTATATAGTCATTGTCACGTCACACATCGAAAGACATACGTGTCACAAAGAGACAGTCAAATCATAGTCATAACATGGAGTCCTTGTAGAGTCCTTGTAGAGTCCTGCACGTAGGCCATATTGCTATCTAATACTAACAATCCCTTGGGTTTGTTTTGCTCCGGCAGACTTCATGGAGGTGATGAAGTGCGAGCACGAGAGAGCCGTGCATCTGTTCGTGGACTCTCTGATGAACAAGGACCACATGAGCTACGCCTTCCAGTGCACCGACCCCGAGCGCTTCAAGAAGGGCATCTGCCTCAGCTGCCGCAAAAACCGCTGCAACAACATCGGCTACAACGCCCGAAAGATGCGCAAGAGGCACACCACCAAAATGTACCTGAAGACCCGCGCCGACACGCCCTTCGGAGGTGAATATCCAAATCAGAGCCCAAGTCCTAAACCGATCTAGCCTGGCCTTATCCGTCCGTAAACTCCGGTCTTCTATCATTTCCTACATACACGTCTTGCTCTTGTCCCAGTGTCTGCAATTATATCGGTTGAATCCCATCCGACCAATCAGTGAGCGGGGGAGGCGGGTTTTGTAGGTCGTGTTGGTGCTGTCAAGAGTTGTAGTTTGGCAACGGCGAAGAATGTCATAGTAAAGTATTCCGGTCTGGTTCTATCAAGAAATTGAAGCAGGAGCAAGAGGAATGTTTAGCAAATGTAAATACTGGCAAAGATTGTGGCGCTACTCCTCAGGGCTCCGTTAGCAGCAAAGGAGATGGCTAAAGCTAGGCTAAATGCTAACGACTTAATCGGGCACATCACATACATCACAACTCAGATCCAATCGTTTTAATCTGCAAAAGGAGTTAACCCAGACCTTAGTACCAAATGTAATTTGTACTGAGGTCTAGTACCATCATGATGGAGCTGAATGAGTCTGTTTTTCTGTTTTCTAGGCTTCCACTTTCAGTTGAAAATGCACGTGTTTGACAGAAAGTCATCGGTCGACCCGGATCCCACCTTCCACGTCAAGTTGTACGGCGCTCACAATGACTCCACCGACATCTACGTCGAAGTGTAAGTGTTCTCTTCTGACTTAATTTTTTTTTAAAAATTGTGTACAGGCCGAAAATCACGACAATAGGTATCTCCTAGGACTTTACAAAGCTGTTTTTTTGCACAAACACAAGAAATGTAATGATAGAAATGAAAAACACATAGAACCTTTGGTCCATAAGCGGCAGAGACCAATGTCCACCAAATATATTTCACTTCTGTCCACTTTTTAACTGTTTCATGTATTTCTCCACAGCCCTGACAATAAAATTGGGTTGAATGCCACCAACACGTTTCTGGTGTTCACTGAAGAGGACATCGGCGATCTGCTTAAGATCGAGCTGAGCTGGGAGGGGGACGGAGAGTCCTGGAGTTCTGTTTGGAAAAGCTTTCGGAAAAGTTTCTTCACCTGGAACACCAACCTTAACAAACCAGTGCTGCAAGTCCGGCGTATCCGTGTGAAAGCTGGAGAAACACAAAAGAAGTAGGTCAAAACCTACAGTCACTCACAGGATGTTGTCTATAACATGAGGTCAATTCTCATCTTGTTTTTGTGTTTTCAGGTTTACATTCTGCGTCCCAGACGAGACAAAGATGGACATTTCACCCGGAGACTCCCTAACATTTGTGAAGTGTCGTGATGGCTGGGATTCCAAACCAAGAAAAAGGTATAAAAACACACTTTTACATTTTGTTCTCTTAATTTGGACACATTCACAGAACACTAAATGTCATTCCTGTTTCAGACTGCCGATGTAAGGACTTGGATCTTCAACACCATCCCCACCTGGGGACCCGCGGGCGAGGGAGAAGCTGCGGCTTCTGGAACAAGCACTTTTAAAGCAGGAGGTCTGCAGGAGGTCTGCAGGAGGTCTGCAGGAGGTCTGCAGGAGGTCTGCAGGAGGTCTGCAGGAGGTCTGCAGGAGGTCTGCAGGAGGTCTGCCCTGCATGTTTCCATGGGACAGTGTCTCTGCTTCTGCCCAGAGCAGGAGCCGAGGAGTCGGACTGTTCCAACAGAGTTGGATCCGTCTGGAGGACGTTGGACTTAGTGACGTAGAGTAGAGTTAAGTGTCTGTGGACGAACACCAGCATTTGTAGTCATGGTACTGTACATTTTAAAATATTTTTTATTTATGAGACAATGAAAGCACTGCAAGACCAATGTTATTTATGAAAGCACACTCACAATGAGGCATTTGTTGTCGATGCAGTATTTGTAAGTATTTGTGATGTTTGTGTGTCTGTTACTGTGGCACTGAGGCTGTGACCAAGTGCTTCTCTGCTCAGAGATTATTCTGCAAACACTGAAGGAGATTCTCATCTCATTGCACACACACTTCTGTATCTTTTGTAATAACGCTTTATTTATGGGTGTGTCCCTGTACATAATGTAAATACATTTTTGGAATAAAAATAAATTCATTATTTGTATTTTGTACGTGCTGCCTGGTTTTTGTTACTGAATAACTGACGTAAAATACCACACAGTAATTATTAAAAAAAAAGGGGGAAATATTGCTGATCAGATCTGAGATGTAAGATATGATTACAGATGCATGACTTCCAACTGATTTAGTGACACACATCTGTCGTTCATCACTTTGAAACTCGTACAGAGACAAACCAGTCTTCATTCTTCTCTTTTTACGTCACTGGTGGAATCTCTTGTGGCTTTGGGCCTCCCTCTTAAGAACCAACAGAAACCTTTTACCTTTGTGTCAGACCCTGGTCAGGATCTGCAAACCGTTTTTCTAGAGGGGGAAATAAAAGCAGAGAAATGACTCCAAATATTCAAATGTCAGTGAATGCGTTGTGACATGTTTGAGAGAAATGCCTGGGAGATTACTGAGAGCGTGCTTTGTGTGCCACTCCCCGCTGTAGCTGCAACCTTCCTCACAGCAGAAACCATGTATCCACAATCCCAATATATATCAGAGCTGGTATTGGTTCTGGTCTTACTGGTGCAACTGATATCGAAGCCTTGAAACTGAAGTAAAGCTCTTTATTATTTACAAATACGAGATGTCTCTTTGTGGTTCCAAATAAATAAATCAATACATTGTCTTGTTAGAATGGTATTTTATGATACAAACAGTGCATCACTCAATCATCACTTGTGGCCTGATCCTGTCTGATCAAAGAAGCAAAGCAGGACAGGAAGTGATATACCAAGACCTGTCTGGCACTTTACAGCCGCACCCGCCCCGCTGTGGTACCTACTGTTCCCAGAGGTCTCCCATCCCAGTACTAACCAGGCCATAACCAGGCTTAGCTTTAGAGGTCTGACAGGATCTGGCTTTAACGTGCAGGTATGGCCACAACTTTTCCAATCACGGTAGAAGTTAGATCCGGGTACCTCTGATCTAGGGCTGTGGGCAGATATTGGCAGAACTGGCTTTGGTGAAAAATGACACTGCTGAGTCGCTTCTGGTCTCAAACATATAATGAATTTGTGTGTTCCATTTTTTCTCCAATTTCACGCTTCAAATGTCTCCAACAAAGCCTCAGGTGCAAACATCTATGATATATAGAAAAGAAAAGGTCATTGTTAACTCACCAAAGAATGAGAGTGTGGTGGGAGAATATTGTTTCTATTTCAAATCTTAAGTGTCTGAAAATGTGGGAGGAGGACCACTGTTCTTGAACTGTGAATTACAAAACTGAAAGTTCTCCACATTGGAACCATTAGCTCTCTTAAATCTGACTTTTTGACCTTGGACCACATCTGTAAAGGTTTGTGTGTTGTTTGGACCCGTTTTGGCAGCCAGGACCAGAGAGAGACCTGAGACAGACCAGAGTGAGACCAGAGAGTTAGACAAGAGAGAGACATAATAATAATACATTGGTTTTGTATAGCACAGCTTTTTGGACACTCAAAGACACTTTACATTATTATTTCACTCCATACACGGTGGTGATAAACTACTTCTGTAGCCACAGCTGCCCTGGGGCACACTGACAGAACCGAGGCAACCAGCATGTCCCTCCGACCACCACCAACCATTCACCAACCAGACTCATTCTAGGCAATGGGGGTTAAGTGTCTTGCCAAGGACACAACGACAGCACACAGTGGGAGTTGATGGTGAAAGTCTTGAGGTGGGCTCAAACCCACAACCTTCTGGCTTAAAGGCCAATGCTTTACCAACTGAGCTACTGTCGCCCAAGAGAGAGACCAGAGAGAGACCAGAGGAATCCCCTCATAATAGAATATGGCGAGATTCTCTTCCACGTGGAGCACCAAAAAACAAAACATATTTTTCACAAGGAAATCTTTATGAAGGAATGAGGAACATGTGCAACTGCCCAAACTTTATCAAGAGCCTCGTGTGACTTGACCTAAATAACAGGTTTTATTGATGTTTAAATCTTCCTGTGGCTCAGAGAAGAGACTTTAAAACACATCTGTTTGTTACAAGTCCCTCCAGGGCCTTGAACCAAAGTACATCTGTGACATGTTAGTCCCATGTGAACCAACTCTGACTCTGAGGAGCACAGGGACTGACCTCCTGCTGGTCCCTGAGTCAGGAGGAGGCAACATTTCAGAAGTCTTCCTGAAAATGTGAGACAGACTTCTTCTCTGACAATGTTCAAATCCAGGTTAAAACAGTATTTTTTTGCTGCAACAACTGAAGGATTGTATCTTTACTCTTCATAATGTTCTGTGATTATTTATGGTTTTAATGCTTATATTATTTCTGTCTTGTTCTGTTCCGCGCTCTGAGTTGCCTTGTGTATGAACTGTGCCATACAAATAAACTCGCCTTTGCCTCTATCCCACTGACCCATTTAAAGCTGCCTGGAGGTAAAAGCCTTCCTCTCCTTCAACACTTTGCCGTCCGGAGCTGAGTTAGTCATTCACTGGACCCTTTGCTGCCCACTGTCGGCTCTGCGTGACTCAAAGGGACGCACACAAAACCATCAGCACTTTCCAAGAGCGAAACGAGGAGGCGGCGGCGAACCGACAGAAAAAACTCACGACTCCCACATTTCCCGAAGGCACAGTCCGTGATTGTCTTTGGTGATACATGGTCCTTGTCTGTCGGGCCAAAACTCGCAAACAGAGTGAGAGACGATTGTGTTCTTTCACACGATGAGAATATGTTTTGTTTTGGAGACGGTGAGGAGAGAACGGAGGAGCAGGTCCAGAGGTTTCTCTTTTCTTGTGATAGATACAGCTACAGATTTGATCTGTCCTCTACAGATTTGATGAGGTTCATATTAGACTAATAATGACAGGACTAAACAGAGACTAGAGAGAGAGACCAGAGAGAGAGAGAGAGCAGAGAGAGAGAGGGACCAGAGAGAGAGACCAGAGAGAGGGAGACCAGAGAGAGGGAGAGAGCAGAGAGAGAGAGGGACCAGAGAGAGAGACCAGAGAGAGAGACCAGAGAGAGAGAGACCAGAGAGAGAGAGACCAGAGAGAGAGACTAGAGAGAGGGACCAGAGAGAGGGACCAGAGAGAGAGACTAGAGAGAGAGACCAGAGAGAGAGAGAGGCCAGAGAGAGAGACCAGAGAGAGAGACCAGAGAGAGAGAGGCCAGAGAGAGAGACCAGAGAGAGCGACCAGAGAGAGAGAGGCCAGAGAGAGAGACCAGAGAGAGAGACCAGAGAGAGAGAGGCCAGAGAGAGAGAGACCAGAGAGAGAGAGGCCAGAGAGAGAGAGGCCAGAGAGAGAGAGGCCAGAGAGAGAGAGGCCAGAGAGAGAGGCCAGAGAGAGAGAGAGAGACCAGAGAGAGAGAGGCCAGAGAGAGAGAGACCAGAGAGAGAGACCAGAGAGAGAGACCAGAGAGAGAGAGGCCAGAGAGAGAGAGGCCAGAGAGAGAGAGGCCAGAGAGAGAGACCAGAGAGAGAGACCAGAGAGAGAGAGACCAGAGAGAGACCTGAGAGAGAGGCCAGAGAGAGAGAGACCAGAGAGAGAGACCAGAGAGAGAAAGAGCAGAGAGAGAGAGGAACCAGAGAGAGAGAGAGACCAGACAGAGAGTGTTTGTGTGTGAGAGAGAGAAATCTTTTATATATAGTGACTTCTGAAATATATTAGGACCATATGAACCGACTCTGACTCTGAGGAGCACAGGGACTGGCCTCTTGCTGGGACTCTGAGGAGCACAGGGACTGGGCTTGTAATTGTTATTAACAGAAATTGAATTCATATCTGGTCCCACAGCAGCGTTCTGTGAAGTAGCTCCGTCTGAATGACTTTAGTACAACATGTCGACAAAGTGAACACATAGTGACGCACCGAGGACAATTTATTGAGCCGCACCTAATAATTATAATTAATTGTTTTAATTGGAATCTAAAGGACGAGTGAACAGGATTCCCTTTGGACTGCCGCACGAGAGAAAGTCATTTATGAGAGCAAAGTTAGATGGGAGTCAGAGCGGGACGAAAACAGGCCGGCTCCTGCTGGTCCCAGAGTCAGGACTAAACAGAGAGACCAGAGAGAGAGACTCGAGAGAGAAAGAGACCTGAGTTTTTGAATGTATACAGTTCATTTTAGAGGTATTTGGTTACTTTACTTGTAGTTACTTCTGAAATATTTTTTGTTCGGACCATATGAACCAACTCGAACTCTGAGGAGCACAGGAACTGGCCTCCTGCTAGGACTCCGAGGGGCACATGGACTGACCTCCTGCTGGGACTCTGAGGAGCACAGGGACTGACCTCCTGCTGGGACTCTGAGGAGCACAGGGACTGGCCTCCTGCTGGGACTCTGAGGAGCACAGGGACTGGCCTCCTGCTGGGACTCTGAGGAGCACAGGGACTGGCCTCCTGCTGGGACTCTGAGGAGCACAGGGACTGGCCTCCTGCTGGGACTCTGAGGAGCACAAGGACTGACCTCCTGCTGGGACTCTGAGGAGCACAGGGACTGATCTACTGCTGGTCCCAGAGTCAGGACTAAACATGAGGAGGCATCATTTCATATTTACGCAACTATAAAGACCAGTGAGAGACTAGACAGAGAGAGACAGACTTCTTCTCTGACAATGTTCAAATCCAGGTTGAAAACCGCTCTCGTTCGCTGCAACAACAGAAGGATTTTCTCTTTCCTCTTTTTAACGCACTGTGATTGTTTATATCTTGTTTTT